GGTCTTTTGTTCGCCTTATGATGGTGTATATTCTCAATCATGCAATGGGTACATAGGGGGCAAATGAACTCCTTCCCTTGTTTCTTGAAAACTAAACTTGAACAATAATTGATGAAACCTCTTTTTCTCTGTAGGACACTGACTCGGGCTGGTCTCTCAGCTCTCCCTCCAGATCTTTGTGAGCAACTGCCTCACCTCAGAGTGCTGTGAGTTCTATACAGTCATTTAGACAAAGATGCAAACATGATATGAAAAAAAAAACTATATACAAAAAAAGCTGYACTATGAAATCCAATCTTGACCTCCACTCCTCCCTTCCTCCCCAAAATGATTGTCCTCTAATATAGCATTTCTCACAGAGCTGACACCAAAGTAATCCGGTCACCCCATAATTTCCCACACTTTAAACCCACAGTTGGTCACTGTGGTTCTGCACACTTCTGTGCAACTGTTTTTAATTGTCGGCTGTTGCAGGGAGCTGTCCTACAACCAGATTGAGGAACTTCCCAGCTTTTATCGCTGTTCAGCCCTGCAAGAAATGTGAGCACTTCTGGTTCCCAAAACAGTCACAAATACTTGTCAGAATCAACATATTGTCTTCTGTTTAACTCGTTTATTGCGTAAAATGTATGTAAGAGTCTGTTTTTCTCCATTTGCAGAGGACTACAGCATAATCAAATTAGAAGAATAGASTCTACTACCTTCCAACAGCTCACCTCTCTCAGAGCACTGTGAGTCCATCTTCATTCCTTTTTTTTTACTTTCTCTCTCACATCATGCATTATTCTGATTTTTTAATTATTACTATAATGGCAGGAAACGGAACTTTAAAAGAGTCTGGGTGTGTTAGGTAATGAATAAAAGCAGAGGGAAATGTTGCATTCAATATAAAACTGTTTGCATTGCAAGATTTGAAAAGCACCAACCATAGTGCATCTCATTTATAATTTATCCTTTATGTTAATTTAGCGCTTATCTTTTTTTTTGAAAGAATGCTTTTCACCTATCCCCTTTTATGACAGCGTTTTAGACTAAGCCCATCTTATTCTGAGAAATAATTAGATTGCATAGCAGCTTTAGTCAAAACTTGAAGATAACATTATGCACAATTTAATGCACTGTTGTAGAATGTCACAGTCCAAGTACATGGTGTGAATGTCTGTAAGCTACAACAAATTTTACCACAATAACTGTAACACTGACTGAATTGTAGGAGGTTTTTTTTAGTTTAGTGTGGTCCCCATCTTGAATTTTTAATGACTAGAATCTGTCCAATAGCTCAGATTGTTTTGCCTACAGAGTTCATTTTGTTAGTACTCTGAATATGTGGTGAGGGTGATCCTTAAATACAGCCACACCAAATTTTATGTCAATATATGTAAACTGACTGAGTTAAAGCCATTTAATTCAAGYCAGTTGGCTTTGACAGCCACCTTGAATCAGCTTAACTCCATGGTTCAGTCAGCTGTAGACGTATATCCAATTATTATTTACCACAAGCTTCATCACAATTTGTACAGCTATTCATGAGATATTCTGCTAAGAGACATATTCCCTCTAACCCCACAACCCACCACAAATACATACATGCACACAGAGGCAATCAAAGACATGACTGTCTATCTTCACCTTTTAATAGTGGGCAATAAACATTTATCAGTCATTTCCAACCTCAATGTCAAAATCCCATCATAAAAGTCCAAAGATACTTGGTAATGAGATAAAAAAAAAAGAAAATCTCAAATAAGTTAGCTTCTTTGAAACTAGCAGAATAATACATTTGAAAAGTATGTGGGGTAAAACTGACTATTAGGATTTCAAAAGTAAACGGTTTTGTTTTAAGTATAAATTTGGAAAAGCTGATCTGATTGAAGTTTAACAGCTGTCTGTCCCTTTACTGACACCTAGGGGTAAACACAACATTGAGAGGGATCAATAAATAAATTAAATAAAATTAAATAAAACCTGGGCACATATAATGCTGATAAGTCCATTTGAGTTCACTTCAAAATTATCTTGTTTGTTTTGTTTTCTGACAGTGATCTGAGCTGGAACATGATCGAGTGGATCCACCTGGATGCCTTTGTCTCACTTCACTCTTTGATCAAACTGTGAGCAAAAAGAATATACATATCTCTCGCTAAGACACTTCTACCTTTCATCTAGTACATCAGCTGAAGCACTCTTCTCCTTTTCAATTTATGAAGAAATTATTGAAGATGTGGACTAATATAAACACTAAATGTGTCAGAAAGTTATACAAGTCTAAAACTATATAAAGATGTCATGTTTGGCTAAGGCTCTGAGGAACACCGACAAGTATTTTTTTTGTGTGAAAAACTATGTGTAGCCACAAGGCTTGTTTTAGGTCACAACAAAATTACATATTTGTGTGAAATCTCAAGTTTGTCTTGCCAGATTATCTACATCTGAAAGTAGATACAATCTTAGGAGAATGTGATAGAGTGCCTTGTCTGAACAGGTTATAATATCAAAGAGACAGGAGCTTTTTTTTTTTTTTTTTTTTACTAAAACACACCCACAATGATATCTGGATAATAGTCTTATTTTGCAGACCTAACGTTGTATTTCTGTTTTATAATTTACTTTAGAGACCTCACTGAGAACCGTCTCAACTCTTTGCCAGTTGCTGGTTTGGGAGCCCTCACCCATCTCAAACTGAAGGGGAACAAAGAATTATATGAACCTTTCAGTCCGGATAACTTTCCCCACATGAGGTAATAACTTACAAAGGCACAACTAACTTTATTTTCCTCTTAGTAAAAATAAGAATTTAAAGATTCAGGTGTGTATCCTCTGGGCATTAAAGAACAATGTATCTCGGTTCAATTACTGAAATTATCCCTCATCTCATAATAACAACTTTGTCAATTTAACAAAAGCCTACAAGTCTGACTGTTAAAGGCAGTGTATTCCTGAAAATCATTCCTGAACTGAACTTAAACATTGTGCAGACACTTGAAGCAGCATGCTAATTCTTGTTAAAAAAAAGTCCCTGAAGGCCAGAAGATATAAAGTAAAAGTGATGGATGAAATGGCGTGTGATCAAGGATAACATCATTACTGAAAAACACTGTCCAAAAACAGAAGTCCTGGCAGACACGTCTGATTTTGCCACGCTGACTTGTTATTATTAATGCTGTTTTTGTCTCTACGCTTCAGGGTGATAGAGATGCCTTACGCGTACCAGTGCTGTGTGTACGCATCCTGTGATAGCTACAAGCCAGCCAGTCAGTGGGACACAGAACCGAGCAATACACATGAAGACCTGCACAAGAGGACAGTAGCCATGTACCCCATCCACGCTGACACCAACTGTAAGTCAGCACAAACTTACATCTGTTTTGAACATGTAATGATACACACAGACTTTAAAAGATGGAAATCTAAAACAAATAAAGCCTGAAACGTGTCAGAGCCTCACTGCAACCACAGTTACCTGGCACCTGATACACTTCCATGTTAACAATACCATTCCTGTGGCCAGCATACAATATAAACACAGATAAATCAAAATTAGGCTGACAAAAAAACACATTCAAACTAGACCACTAAGATTCCAAACAGTTACTGAGTTAACAAAAACAATAACAGTGAATTGTCTTTGACTACGGAATAGAACTTCAATAGTTTTTTAGTTTTGTTTTTTTTTTACCATGCACTGAATGACTGATGATGTACACCAGCATCTGGCAAGAGTCGGAATAAAAATGATCACATTTTAATTCATGTATATAGAAATAGACTCTCCAATAGCATCAGCTGAATTATGTGAAGCTGTTAAAAACATGCCAAACAAGAAAGCTCCAGGTCCGGACAGGTTCCCAGCAGAATTTTATAAAGAATTCTGTAATATTCTGGCACCAGTATTTTTCAGAATGCTTCAGGAATCAGAGGAACATGGCAGGCTTCCATTACAAATGAATTCGCCCAACATAAGTCTCCTATTAAAACCAGGTGAAGACCCAGTACTACCTACAAGTTATCGTCCCATTTCCCTTATTAATGTTGATGTTAAAATAATTTGTAAAGCTCTCTCTAAAAGATTGGAGAAGATAATTCCTTTCTTAATTCATCCTGACCAAACCGGTTTCATCAAAGGAAGGCACTCGACTACAAATTCACATAGATTATATAATTTAATAGACTATTCATACAGTAAAAATATTGAAATGACTATTTTGTCTCCAGATGCAGAAAAAGCATTTGATAGAGTAAATTGGAAATTTTTATTTGCAACCCTGCATAAATTTGGGTTTGGAACCCATTTTATTAACTGGTTGAAAATATTATATTGTTCATCAACAAAGCGCGTCAGGACAAAATCAAATATCTTCTAGTTTTTGTTTACAGAGAGGCCATAACCACCTGGGCCCCAAATTTTATTGTACATCTTAGATATTCACTCATAACATTTTCATGACATTCACATACTGTATAGGAACTTATGGTGGGCACTCATGGCTCACCACTCTCGCCTCCTGTGCCTGTGCCTACCCCCAAGGTTTGCATATAGACACTTAGGGTTTTGGGTTACAGTAGTGG